TTTTCCCACTTTCTGTACCTCCTCTGTGGTTTTTTCTGTCCGGTTCGTTCCCCCTCTCATGCCGCGGTGTGGTTGGTGGTGCCCCGCAGCGCATACACCTAAATTTACTTCAGGTCGTGGCCTCACAACACACACAGGCGGGAAAGGAAAGGCGGTGGAGGTGGGAGGAGAACGGGCTTTAGAAACTGAGAAGAAGTGAAGGCGTGTGGGGAGCAGGAAGGAAGAGAGCAAAAGGAAAAGGAAAACGAAATAGCTTCACCAGAAGGTTCCAGTTAGGCTACTTCATCCATTGCACTCTTCTCCTTTTTCCTTTTTTTGGGGGGGGCGCGGGGAGCTCGGGTGAAACAGAAGGAGGAGTGAGAAATAAGTGGTCGCCGTTGAGTCTTGTTCACTGCAAGGGGAAGCGATAACCACAAGAGCTGCGGTGTAGACCGACGCCCATTGCTCCACAAAGGCCTGTGGTGAGGTGCGGGCATTCGGGGCGCCGCCACACCCCGCGCGATGCTGTTTTGGGGCTGCCTGTGCGGCAGCCGCACGCCGAACGAAAAGTTATGCCCACACGCGCGGACGCCAGATGTCACGTCCCGCAACCCGCTGCGCCTGGGCACGCCCACTGCGCTCGGTGGGGGCGATATCGAGCTCTGTGACTACGACGGCTCCACGTCGAGCCTCTTCCATACCGTGGGCATCGATTGCAGGGGCGCTGGTGCTCCAGACGCAGCCACAACGCTCGGCGACGCGTTGTCGCCTCAGCTTATCGTGACCATATTTCGCCTTCTGGAGCCAGCGGATCTTCTGCAATTTAGGGCAGTGTGTCGTGCGTTCAATGACGTGTTCTTATCCTTCGAGGTGCAGCAGTCGCTGGCGGTAAGCTCCTCCCGCACCGCTCTGGAGCCTGCGCTGGGTCACGACACCTTAGCAGGAGTGATACGCGGTCGCGAGGCAATTGTGCGCCGCCGAGAGCTTATGTGGAATCAATGGGCGAGGAACTACATCAGGACAAGACACAGTAACACTGTGGCGGTGGGTGTCTTGCACCGAATGAAGCTTGAGGGCAAAGGGCTACGCGTGCAGCTTCAGTGGGCGCGCGAGTCGTGCCGCCGCGCCGTGGAGGAGTGGCTGGGTCACCAGGCCGACTGCCGCCGTGCGCAGTACAACATCCGCCGTAACTGGTTCAACGTCGCCAACTTCAGCTGCAAGGTTGGCTGCGGCGTTCCCCCTATTATCCTGCCTGATGGGACACTGTGCATCAACGACCCGCCCGACACTGTTATCCTGTATGTTCGACGAGATCGCTATATGCTCCCATGTCTCACGCGGCACAACACGACACATCCACTTTCACGATCACGCGAGACTCTGCAAGACGTTTGGTCTGTCCTTCATAAAATCCGTTTTAGTTTTCCCGTGAGTCACACGTCGTATGATCCGTACATGGATGTCCTCAACGTTACAACCGTGAAGGGTGAAGGGACAACGTGGCGAGTGCATAGCGGCGTAGTTGAGAATCTAGAGAGACGGCTGGAGGTGGGCGTTGAGCACGAGGCGCCACCACCGCTGCGCAATCCGCGGATGATTGACTCTTCCAACGGCTCTTACCCGTGCCGCGTCGAGCTTTTGACGCATTACAGCGTCGCAGCCAATGTACTCTCTACTTTTGGAGTGAATAGTAGGGACGCACTCGGGCTGCAGGACTGCGAGTGGAAGGAGGAGGAGATCCTCGCCATCTCTAATGTGCAGAGTAGTGGTCATCGCGATGTTACTCGTAGTGATAGCAGTGATGATGGTAGTCATGGTTGGAACAGGGGACACATCTTTGTTGTCCAGCATGAGAGGGATGTTACTGATTCGGTCATGTCGATGCGTGGCGAATCCGATGCACAATTCACAGGAAAGGACATGCTCGAATTGATCAAACTGCAGCGAGGGATGGCGTCGAGGTGCTACAATGAAGACGGGGGCGGAGAAAATCACGACAACACGCCTGTTACTTTCGTGGATGCACAGAACGATGCACCTGCACCTTCAGGTAACGTGTTTCAGAGAAACGCTGGTGAAGCAACATCTGTTTTTGTTCCCGGCCTTGAAAGACTTCTGAAGACGACGGCAACAACAACAGCAGCAACGACTGTAGTGGACATGCGGGACGCAGCTGCTGTCGAAGCCACAGCCGCTCAACGTGTGGTGGAACGGCAGGTATTTGGGGTGTTCAATGAGCGCTCCACATTAGTGTGTGCGTCGGCTACCACGCGCGAGGTTGCCGTTTACGTGCAGAGCATGTATTCCTGTGTGACCCTCGGTGTATGCTACGCCAGGGACGTTCACCGGGTGAGGATTCTCACTGCACCTGTCTTTCGCCTCTGCGATTCGACTCCATTTGGCAACACCGACGAGGGAGAGGTCCTCGTCGCCTGTGCGACACCTAAAAGCGTCTTCATTTGTCGACAAGTGCTGTTTCGAAGTTTCAGGCAGGCGGAGCGGTGTGTCTGGGACGACGACGAAGATGAAGAAGAAGGCAGCGAGAATGATGGAACGCGTCGTAACGGCAGCCGCGCCTCTGGGGGCAGGCAGCGTCACTGCACGCGCTACTTCCTGAAGGGCTACTACTACCACTCCCCCACGGTTGAACTGGTGTCGCTGATGGAAATTGGCTCGGTCTCGATAGCCCCACTGTTGGTACCGCGCCCGTGGATGCCGCAGCATGTGCAAGCGCTTGCACTTTGGGAGAGAGGCAACGCAGATTCGTCGCCGCAGCACAAACAGCCGCCGCATTTCAGTTCCTGGTGGTACCCACTGCGGGATGGGCATCCTCACCTACGTCAGCCGTTTCTTCTTTACACGTCAAAGGGTCTGCCATACATTGCTTTCCAACGTGAGTACACAGCGGAGGAGCATAAGGTCCTCGCGCTCGAGGATCGGCCCCTATTCTATGAAGTGGGTGTGCTCGACGGTGTCCCCATGTTGGACTTCCACGTGAAAACGGCAACTCTCTCACCAGCGCACGCCTTTTTTGTTCTGGGGCTGAGTAACGGCGCGATTCTTCTCCTCTCTCCATCAATTGCGGACTCTGAGCGTTGCAGGGGGTTTCCAACAGACACGATGCCGCCGGATACGCGGCGGCATCAGTCACATCAGTTGGCGCATCCGCAACGCAGCGTCACGCTTGACGAAGAAAGAGAAGAAGAGGAGGAGGAGGATGAAAGGTCCGATTCTGCAGGAAACGTGGCGCCACAGCCACCGCCCAGAGGTAACCCGAACAGAGATGGAATCGGGAATGAAGAAAGCAGCAACAATGTAGATGACGACGATGTGGAGGAGGAAGATAATGACGACCCATCTGTGTTCTATGTGCAGCCTGGAGAGCAGCGGGAGACAGCGAGCCGGCTCTGCCGTGCTACGCTGCGGCGGGCGAACATAGTGCGCATGCAGAACCGCGATAAGGGGCGACGCTGCCTCTACGACTTCACCTCAACTCAGCTGTTCGGCAACGGATTTAAAGAGGATACTTACATTCGTAAACTGCAGCAAGGCGTCTCGTCCGTCTACGTGTTGTTCGAACCCATAGTGCCATGGCAAGGCATGCCGTTCCACTCGGTGTGGATTCTGCCACCAGTTCTGCAGGACAGTCAAGTCCAGGACACAGCTCACTGGGCCATGCACCTGGATGAGTGGAAGCTGACCACACTCAATTTTTCCTACGAAGTGGTTGTATATGACCTTACACTGCGGCCAGGAAAAAATGGCAAAGGGTTTGTGTTTCCGCCACTGATAAGCCTCAGTCCGTACAAGCATCATCCGCTGAGTTGCACTCTCATCCCGTCGAAAGAGGGCACATGGCTGTGCGCACGCATCCGCAACTTCCATCGAAGCGTGGCCAAATGGCGTTCAAATGGGTCAGAGATTGTTTGGCATAACGGCCTGCTTCTCGTGAGCAGCACCTCAGATGGAAACAGATACTCAATCATTGATTTTGACACTGTGTTTCGAGACCCTGATGCCAAGGGTGCACACAACAGCGAGCCTGTAGCATACTCAGCAACGCAGAAAGAGTACCGAGCGGATATGTCCAGTGTTACGCTCCCTAATATACCTTCCAAGGGAAACGTTATGAACGTTCCGCGTCACTATCCGTTATTGTTTCGGAGGCACTTTGTGTTTTTATTCGGGCTCGTGATGTGTCCTCTAATATTCCTGTGCGCGTCTGTTGGGATCACTCTCATGATGATTCGCTTGGATGGTTATATTGGCATGCCGCACTGGATTCCGTTGCTCATTTGTTCCCCTCTTCCGTTGGGTATATTGTTCAAAGACGTAATGGGGTATGACCAGTACTTCTTGAATGGTTGCGGTTTGCCTTTCTTCGCCCATCTCCTCACCGATGTGTTGTTGTTTGTCGTGTTCCCAAGTCTCTTCGTATTGAAGCATGACGCATACGATATGTTTCATCCGGCTTGGGTTTTGCTGTCGATACCTCTGGTCGTTTCCTTTGCCCTCATGTCGGTTCCCTCCTTGTACCTCGCTGCGCGCCAGCATGAGACGTGGCTTTTTCAGGTGAACAGGTCAGCGCTTCTGGACCACCTTGTGCATTTTCTCTTTATGTGTTTTTTTGTGTTGATTTCGTTTTACTTTGATGGGCCATCTGAAAAGAACGAAGCGGAGCCGAAGTTGAACCTTATCATAGTCTTTCTACCATTTTTCTTGGTGCTGGCGATCGCCGTGTGTAAGGTTATCAAGTCATTCCGGAAGATGCGGAACGTGGCCTATCTTGCTTTTCTGTTGTGTTGGCTGGTGTTCGCTTCTATCCCATCTTCCCTCTTCATAATGCAGTTCAACTCGTATTACGCGTCACTTTCCCATTTCAGCAGGACCTATCCCCCGTCGGTTGTGCAGTCGTGCTTCGCGATTCCATTCCTCTTCCTACTGGGGGCAATTTACCTCGCTTTTCCTGCCTTCATGGTGTGTCGCAGAATGTAGGAAAGAATATTAGGAGAAAGAAAGAGAGAGAGAGAGAGAGAGAGAGAGAGAAAAAAACGGCGCGCCGGTAGTGGGGATGTTGAAGTTGGTGAAATCACCACTACCATTATTCGTGTATTTTGCGCAGCGTATTGAGTTCCACTGTTCGCTTCACGTTGAAAGTGTTTTCTTTTTTTGTTTTGTTCATTTCTTGACTCGGATTCGGCTGTTTGTTTGCTTGCTTGCTTGTGTGTGTCTGTGGAGGGGGGCGTGGGTGTTACGTGCATCTCGTAATTGTGTGCTGGCTTGTTACGCCATCTGTTTGTCTCACTCTCAGACACTCTTATTCGATTCGGCACATCCAGCATCTCTGTAAACAGCTTTTTAGAGCCTTGCAGAGAGAGCCGCAACCCTCCCCCATCCCAGCACACACGCTCTCGTGTACGACGCTGGGCACTGAGATCCCATTCGATGCTTCAGCTTGCCATATATAGTTATATATGAGTGTTTTTTGGGTGTATATATGCATATGTATACCTATGCGCAAAGGATAGTTTCAGCCATGGTGTCTGCAGCGTAGCTAGGCTGAGTTGCGCGTGTGGAATATGTACCACGTGCGCATTTTAAATGACGGAAAGTGGCGCAGAGAGTCCGCTGCATACCTTCTTTTATTTTCGGTTTGCTCTGCATGTTTCGACTATGTGTATATGTTGCCGTATTCATGTTTTTCTGAGGGTGTCATGGCGTTACAAGCAACCGAAGGAAGGAAGGTGATTAGTAAGCAACTGGACTAAACAGAGGTGGGAAAGGAGTGAAGGTTGGCCATTGGCTTTTCGTTCGTTTCGTTGCGAAGCCGCCATGCGCGGCAAGGGCATACGCACACGCGCTCTTCGCGGTGACGCTGGTTTCACGCTTAGGCTGGCCCGCTACTGCCACTCCGCGCTCACGCCAGCATCTCACACCGGCACCCTTCAACAAAAACAACAGCAGCAGCAGCAGCAGGATGTGGAAGCCGGCGAAGCGGACGGCGGAAGCACCACCGCCACCGGCAGCCCACAGGGGCGCCCCGCACCCTCTTCAACGTACGCTGGCGTGCGTGTCGATTCATACGTCTTGTCGCCCGTTTTCGAAGAGCACCACTGTCTCTGGCAGTGGCGCACAGTGGCGTGGCACGAGAGGCTCCACGCCGTTCCGTTCCTACTGCACTGCGCTCCTGGGGTCCCCCTTTGTCAACCATTTCTTCATCACACCGTCGCTGAAGCCATCGTCACACCGCGGGGCCAGAGCCAGTCGGTGCAAACACCCGCGGACGTCAGCGTGACAGACTCGACGTTAGCCACCTCACCCGTTGGTGCAAAGCGGCGCGGAGGGGAGGGGAAATACGCGGCGCTGACGATGCCTTCTCCAATTGGCGTACTCCCCGTGATGGTCGCAACGCCATCAGTGAGTCATCCCATGGCTGGGTGGGTTGGCGAGCTGTTCGCTCTGTTGGAGCGGGGGACGGCGCAGGTGGTGGGCGGCGCAGGTGGTCGTCCGGTGCACGTCTATACCAACGTGTTCGGGCATAGCAGTGAGAATATTCCCCCTCCGCCTGCTATTGCCGACGTCAAAAACATCAGTAAGAATCCTCATACTGTGGCGCCTATTCTGGAGCGGTCTCGTTGCAGCATTCCGTTAAAGCAACGCAATATCATTGGTTGTGGCCTGGCAGAGGTGGTAGTGGCAATCGATCGCTATGCGGCAATGCTGGCGCGGCGTGATATCACATATGCGAAGGCCTGCTGGGCGGTGTTGATCGATAGCAAAGCTGACGTGCAGCCGTACCTGCGAACCAGCGCCGTGGCGATCGAGAAGGAACTCCTCGCAGCGACTGCAGCGCATGAAGCGCTGAACGCCGCGGTGGGCGATCCCNACCAGCGCCGTGGCGATCGAGAAGGAACTCCTCGCAGCGACTGCAGCGCATGAAGCGCTGAACGCCGCGGTGGGCGATCCCTTGAAACGTCCGCCACTGTCTCTGACAGACTACCCAGCACTCGCAGGATGGTAGCAGCTCCTCTGTTATTAGCGCTCCTGACCATCTGGCAGCCTATTCTCTTCACAACTTCAATTAGTTTCATTTTTCTTTTTTTTTTTTGGTTTGCCTTTCTTTGGTCACATGGAAAGGGAGGAGACCTGGCTGTGGAGCAGGCGGCGCGTGTCGAAGTGAAGCGCTGCGCCAACGAATCCACTGCAGAAGCCGGCTGAGAGTTCATTTAATTATTTTTTCTTTTTGTTTGAGTGGGGGGGGGGGGGGGGAGGGTTG